ATACTAGCTGCTGGGGACCATTCTTTGTCTCCATGTATGGATAATTAATTTATACCTAATTAAAACAGTACAGACATAGCATTAAGATGCCGTGCGAATTGAGTATAAATTCTCAACATGGAAAAGAATAGCATCTATTTCGAAATGTTAGAAAAACCTTCTTGATCCGTTGTTGATTACAACCGACCGCTTTGTGGGAACAGATAGCGAAGAACAAAGAGGCCTTGGAGCAGCAGACGTTTGTGTAAAGCGCCACGCACGGGTGGAGCCGACTACTCATGCTGAGCCTTTGTTTAACTCGCTACATGTGTTTATTGACAAAAACTGCCTGGCGCAAGACAGCACACAACTAACTAAACGGTGGTTTAGAAAGTGCTCGCCAGCGATTATAGTTAGTTCTGTAAAAGTTACAACACTAGCCATCAGATTTGCATAAGTATTTGCAGTCGTACGTTGCAGATACGAGATGTTACTAACCAAATATGAATTCTAAGTCTTATTATATACTGACTCGACGAAAAATACCTCTTCCATACTGAAAATTACTTCCTCCTAATTAAAATCCACGACATCATAGGTTTCTGTACGTTATCCGATTCTAAGAACGTGCATATTTTCCGGCTTCAAATTGCACAAAAACTTCAGAATTTTAATAGAGGTCATCCATTTGTAATTAATAAAATTCCGCATTCAGCTACCTTATCTAGATTTTAACGCATCGATTCTTTTATTACTCATTCCGTTTTTTACTATCATTTGTTTTTGAGTCATAGGTGGTCATAGTTGTAGTCTCTAATGTAGAGCCAATACAATCGATAGAAGATTAAGTTTAAAAAGTTAAAAATCTTTTTAAATTGGTATCAATATTGAAAAGGGTTTTTTTCTAGTAAGTGATAGAGCTTGAAATACTTACTTTAATTAAGAGTAGGCGCACACCGTTGATTTTTAGTTGGCCGATAGTTGTGCCCGATTTTAAATTGTATGAAGAATCGGCCAAATCGAATCGGCGTAGTGTGCGCACTCCCATACATGCCCATACTGATCAACTGCCTGACTAAACTATCGGCCAACGAAAAATCAACGGTGTGCGCCTACTCTAAGAATTTGATAAAGGTCAAATTCAAATCTGTTTTAGTTCTTAGCAAAGTTTCGTTTTAATTTATCATTACTTGGTGAGTTGGTTGGTTGTATATTTTAATACTAAAGACAGAAGTCGAAAAGTAATATACTCCCTAGATAATACATTTTGTGTCTCTACTATTACATTTTCAAAATAATACAATCCAAAAAAAGCTCTTTCGCTACACCAGCTATGAGTAAAGTATGATAAATAGACTGCTAGTACGAGTATTTCCTATTTAAAATGAGGATTATGCAACCAGACATGCACATGCAAGGAATATATTTGTTACAACTGTATGACTTAACTGATTTTAACATGACGCACTCACGAGCCAAGGCTGGCCATATCTGGCTACATTTAACTGTCACAATTCCACACATTTACTGTTACGTTTTAAATACATACTCGTATCTGCACGAATGCCACAAGTAGATCGGATAATGTGTTCATACAGTTTTACGAGTAGTATCCATTCAGCAGAGCGTTGAATACCGCTGCATTTTACTGAATAAATAAGTCATTTCTTCTATTAATTTATTGGTATTTCTTATTTAACGTTTTCTAGTGTATTATCCCAAACAATATATTATACAGTTGGTACAATTTGTATTTAGTTATTTGTAGAAAAATAAGAATTGAAGATGATTTTACTACTTATTTTATAGCATGATTTTCTTTTGGAAACATAATGAAAACTATCTGGCTGATCACGTCAACCTGTCATTATCTTTTTCCCTATTGGAAGTTTTACCCCAATGTTTGAATGTTTCCGGGAAACTGTTCCACTTTTCCTCTGACTTCGACGACAATTTTTCAAACTAATAGTTTGCTGAATAATTATGTTGCATTCTCGAATTTTGCGCATAGCAACACAATTTTTATTCAGTTTAAAGTGCTTATTTATGTCAGAACTAAATTAAATACGAACTGATCATATCGAATTCTCATTATTTTCAATAAATTCCCAACCCTGAATTCATAAATAAAATGTATCACTGTGAAAATGTTGCGTAATTTCCGTTAGGTCATTAAAATGAAGTCGATATTACTTTCGACGGCTAACTCGAGCAGCTTTAAAAGTTGAGAGCACTTATCTCCATCTACGAGAATGACGCAATGGTAAGATCGGAGCTTTATTAGCCACTCACTCAATAATGATCATTCGATATTTAGTGGTGTAAGCTTTATAAAATTTTAATTACTTACGTACTATGTGTTTCTATAAATCTTCCAGTAATATACTGTTGCAATATTTTACTTTCTCGAAACGATTGATTGTTTCCTTGTTGGAGTATTACTTTTTATTCTATTCGTTATTAAAAAAGTTTTAGTTAGTGGTTTTGTACCTGCACTGCAATCCACTAGAATACAGAAGAGCAAAACTTTAACAATTAAGATTTATAGTAGGTATTATGAATCCGACATCATTAGTATTTTTAGCAAAGCGAGTAATTTTTATGAATTGGTCTTTCTTGCTTCAGAAACCCGTTGTAAATGAGTTACTAATTTCAGCAAATGTTAGATTTTGTGGTGAGTATGTATTTATTTTCCTACAATAATTACAAAAAATAAAAAGTAATTTAAAAATCTGGTGATTTCGAGCAGGAGAAATTCAATAACATTCAACAGCATTGACGTAATTTAGGTATGGTTACACAATCACGCTCTTAAAACAATTTCGCTAAAATGTATATTATCATAAAGAACGTTTATAGGTATCCTTATGTTTTATTGAATGAAAAACCATAACGATGATATGAATTGACCGATGACAATGACCTGCATTTTACAACTGAGTTGTAGGAGAAAATTCTAACCGCACCGTAGTGGAAAAAACACTTTGCGTAGTGGTTTCCAGCTCGGTTAGAACAAGCTTGAAGGACCTGATTACGAGTAGGATGATATTGCGAGATAGAATGACTCCATTTGATATGGTTCAAACAGTTGGCTGCCAAATAGATGTCTGACAACAGAGTTGTTATCGCCAGTAGAGTAAAGGCACTATCTCGCTATTTACAAATAGCTACCAAAGAAAGACTATTAAAACACTAGCTCTCGTGTCTTGCTGAGTACACTGACATACATTTTAGCAGCAACAAATTAGCAGCGATATCATCGACCGCCTGAACGTGCAGTGTCCGCCTCCTGCCGCCTCGCAGGAACCTTGCGCCCGCGCGCCGCCCACTAGCCGCGGAATTAGGACTCTTGCCAGAGACAAGCTTCGCATCGCTATTTAAATAAATTAAAGGTCATGAGGCCGTTTTACTAATTTTATCGATTCTTGTTCTTAGGTTGAATACATTTACTATCAAATGGGAACGGTCTGAATGATATTTATTCGTTCTTTTGAAACATGCTGAAGGTATTGTGACATGTCCTAAGATATGTTTTATAGTAGAGACATCTGCCTAATTAATGATATACCTTACATTAAAATTACTTTGAAAATACTCATAGTGTTGAGGATATTTTAATTATTATTATTAAGAATACGAACAAGGCTAGACAACATTTACAAAGGCCAACATAAAAACTTGTTTCTTCTTCTGATTTCTATATTTTCACAACAATCTGAAAAACCTGTTCAATTATCCTTGATCGACGGTTATGTACCTACGTGAAATTGTTACCCACTTATGATTTGCGCTATTTTTTCTCAGTCTGCTACGAATTTAGCAGTTTCTACTATCGGGAGTTGTGCGTTTTTGCTTGTTGCGATAGGTTAGATGCATTTCAAACCTAGCGGTTCTCCACAAAAGAACGTGGCAACTTGCATCATTGCATCACATGTCGCAATCACTGACCGCCGGATGCAGCTAAGGAAAAACCAGCTTTTCCATCCCAATATGGAGATGTTGTTACGTAAACGTGCATCGGGTGAAACTCTGCCTAGTTTTGTAATTCTATTGCTAATCCTAGACACTCACGTTTCGTTTTTTATGTCCTTGTTATGTAATTCAGTTGTTTTTGATCAGGTGGCAAGTCAGTTGCCACAGCGTTTAATGAACAGTGTTTAATGGCCAGGCTGAACGATATTGGCCGTTAATATTAAGGTCAATCGATATTATCAAAAAACATAAATCTGTTTAGTGCTATTGTATAATTAAATCAGTGAGAGGCAGCAGAGCACGTTCAAAATAGTCAACGTAAAGTTAAAAAGGTTAAATAAATACTTGTAGATCGAAACGTTATAACTTCATGATAATGATTGAACATTGTATTGGATTCATTAATTATAAAAATATATTGTACATGCAATGCAGTTTAAATATGATTGTTAGTAGAAATCTATATAGTGTGAGCGTCTCGGTAAGTACTAAGTGCAAAAAACGCGCACAGACACATCGCATGTGCCATAAATTCCTCTTAGTTTCCCTGACTAAGACTTCGACTATCGCGGGGAGATCCAGCGAGATGGCCTATCTAGGCTCTCTATCTATAGACTTTAATACGTTTGTACTAGGGGTGGAATTGTAGACCTCTACAAATTCTAATTGGAATCACATAGTGAAATGTTCGTAATTTAAGTGAGTACTAACAGAGTTTCAGTTGGTTATAAGTTATTAGCAATATCCATTGTTATGCTTCACAATCATTACAAGAAGTTTCAATTAGTTTACTTAAATCTAATAAGAGTGTTATTACGAAAGAAAGTTTCAAGGAACATTTGCATTAAGATTATCGAAACAGACCCCGTAAATGGTTAATTTTGTATACAATTAAGTTTACCGATATCTGCAAATAATATCCGCAATGAGTGTTATTGGAACAAGATCAGATAGAGAATGTATTGAGAGAATGCGAGCGCGGCCGCGGGGTCGCGTCGAGCAGAGTTGCGACACGGCCCCGAGCGCAGGGCACTGGAAGCGGTCCCAACCTTGAGATCATCGGTGAGTGCGGGACCGGTGGTGTACGGGGCTCATTCCTCCCGGTAGAAGCGATCCGCCTTCCCTCGCTGGCAGGCGAACAGCCGTTAGAACTCCGTGGAACTCGCCACACACCGCGACAGTGGTACTTTGTAGCGATACACTTTCGTTTGTACGGCTAAAATCACACCATCACTCAACACTGCATCAACACTCCAAGGATCGGAGCGGACCGTTCGCTAACGGCACGACACGACAGTTGAAGTAGCGACAGCGATGGTCGTCGGACGCGCGACCGAGTTGTTGGTCGGACAATGACTGAGGGCGCGCGAGCAGGCTGCGGCGCGCGCGCAGGCTGCGCCGCCCGCGCCCCGCCCCCCCGCCGCCCGCGCCCGCTATCGCAGCTAGGGTTGCCAGGTCCAAAATCACATAAGCCGGACTTTGTGCTTCATTTGGCCGGACATTTTACCCTAAAAGCCGGACATGTGACGGGGGGGGTGCAATTATTGTCAGCTCATGAGTGAGTACTATCACCATCGGTTGCTAACCAACATCCTGATGTGTGCGCTTCATATGATTCTGTGGCTCGACTTTCACCTGGCGCGGCAATCAAATAAAAAGCTGGACAAGGCAATATTTGGCCGGACAAGTCCCTAAAAAGCCAAACATGTCCGGCTAAAGCCGGACGCCTGGCAACCCTAATCGCAGCCTCGCCCTCGAGCGCGTTTCCCAGTGGCCGAGCTTTTGCCAGCCCTGCTCTACACTTAGGCACTAAAATTGCAACGGCGATAAAACCAACTCGAAACCTGTTCTCAAAGTTATCGGACGAATGCGAATTCCTGCAGGAGATCATAATTTCGATTTCGGGAGAGGCGTACATTTTTACCCGGACTTTATGGCCGCAACAGGCTCGATACTCATATGTTTATGTAGATAATGTCAGCATTCGGAACAAATTGAGACATGAAAAAATGTGTAAAGCTTCTGTGAAGCTATTAGCATCCTCTCGGCGGGCGCGGCGGGTCGGACTCAATAAGCGCTCTTCGTTTTTTTCTCATCACCAATTACATCTATTTTTATAGGTCCATTGAAAAACACAATCGCAGTAATGGCTCAACAATTCGATTGTGTGTGGCGAGTACGCCTCTAAAGATATTCAATTCAAAGCTCAGCGATAAAGATGAAATTGAATACAAAATAACACACGTTGCTATTCAGTGCTGCATCCCAACTAATATTATAAATGCGAAAGTAACTCTGTCTGTCTGTCTGTCTGTCTGTCTGTCTGTCTGTCTGTCTGTCTGTCTGTCTGTCTGTTACGCTCTCCCGCTTAAACCTCGCAACCGATTTTGATAAAATTTGGCATAGAGATAGTTTGAGTCCCGGGAAAGAACATAGGATAGTTTTTATCCTGATTTTTGAAACAGGGACGCGCGCGATAAAGTTTTTCTGTGACAGACAAAATTCCACGCGGGCGAAGCCGCGGGCGGAAAGCTTTTAATATAAATTGTTTGTATCCTATGGGTGTAATGTAGAGCTAACATTCCTAACCCTAGATAATGATCACTTCCTTTAGGCTCGCTTAGGCGTGTGTGTATGATTATAAACACCGCAAAAGTTTCAATAAATTATTGCGGGTATAATGACCCTCCTCGCGTCTTCCCATTTGGTGATGATTACGTACTTTGCAGAAACTTAATTCATTGATTCCCTGCAATCAGTGGATTAATTTTGTGCGCACGGTCCGTTCGGTTATTGTTAGTGATTACTATTTATGACTAAACCACAATGATTTTGCTAGCTGATTACTTAATGAGATAAAAACTTTGTAAGTGCCGGGTGCAATTTAACTGTTGAGAGTAAGTAGGTATTATTATAGTCGTACTGCAGTAGTTTGAAAATGAGTAAAGCGGCTGAATTTGACTGACCGTCATTTACGGTCAAATTGGTCAAAAACAAAAACTGTCATTTACGGTCAGTTTCGGTCGATTTGATTTCAGTAATAGTTTAGATCTTTTTTAGTTTTTTCTTAGATTTTGTGATTGATAAAAGTCTACAACATCTTAATTGAAATAAAAAACGTGATTTGTAATGATTTATTATAGAAAAACATTTTACAGTGAGTCTACAACTTCTAAATTGAAACTATAAGTGTTTTGTAATGATTTATTGTGCTCTCTTTCCCTACTCAATTTATTACAAATTAACGTTCCTTCATTTAAAATTGCATATAAATTGGGTACCTAAATAAATAAATTATTCGGTGATAGTACAGTAATATTGAGTCAAATTGACTGAATTTGACCGTTTTTGACCGGTCATTTATGGTATCTGACCATCGTGACCGGTCAGATTCAGTCAATTTACATCTCTATCTGCAGTAAGTTATGCAAATTCATTGCGACTTGAAGCGATAATAAGGCGTTAGAAATGAGATGGGTAATGCATGCGCGGTGTCCTCTTCAGCCGCCCCATTTAATAGACATCAACGCGCTCGCTCCCGTGAATAAAAATATTTTAAACTTTGTAATTATCTTCGTTTTTATAAATTGAAAATAAGGTAGTATAACGGTGCCGATACTTTTATAATACTTTTGTCAAACCGATTTAATTACTCATAATAAGACTGATACTCGTATTATAATTTATAACGCTACTTGCCCGGAATATTGTTTTAATACAAAAATGCTTTGAACATTTCACACCCTTAGAATGAAAGTGACCGAATCCAAAAAATGCAATTTGTGGTAAATGAACAAGAAAGTCTTCAAAAAAGTGTAGTCTTGAATACATTTTACTATATCTCTTTCGTGTTCCGTCGCATTTGATTGATTTTAAGTAGATTTATTGATTAACCTTTTGAGTTAACATGGGCAGAGTATTTTTTGTAATTATACTTTAATACTAAATAAATTTTGACATAAAATATAAAGTACTTCTAAATTAGGTCACTTTATTACAAAATACTTTTGAAACTGATGAGATTTTTTATTAATTAAGTCTGTTTATGACGCATATTGCAAATGAATCTGTTGACATAAGTCATTACTATAATGAATGTTATGTGAATATAAGGTAGTAAACATGGGCGTAGCCACGGTGAGGCAGGGTGGGGCAAGTGCTCTAACCTGTCAGGTACCTAACCAAACCTAAAAAAATAATTATCTAGGTACTAACTACAATACGATGTACACTACCAACTACTTTTTGGGTGAAAGATTTTTTGGTGTAGGTAGGTGAGCAATAAGACAGTGTTGGATAATTCAGATAATTCGAATTACACATTTAGATATTGGGTGCTATAAGGTAGCCTTTTTGTATGAAAAAAACTAACCGAGGTATAGCCCAAGGGTATAGTTTGCTTCTTAGTCGTTCGTTTCAGCCGAAAGACGTTTACTTATTGCTGGACAAAGGCCTACTCNTCGCATTTGATTGATTTTAAGTAGATTTATGGATTAACCTTTTGAGTTAACATTGGCAGAGTATTTTTTGTAATTATACTTTATTTAGTATATATTTTGACATAAAATATAAAGTACTTCTAAATTAAGTCACTTTATTACAAAATACTTTTGAAACTGATGAGATTTTTTATTAATTAAGTCTGTTTATGACGCATATTGCAAATGAATCTGTTGACATAAGTCATTACTATACTGAATGTTATGTGAATATAAGGTAGTGAACATGGGCGTAGCCACGGTGGGGCAGGGTGGGGCAAGTGCTCTAACCTGTCAGGTACCTAACCAAACCTAAAAAAATAATTATCTAGGTACTAACTACAATACGATGTACACTACCAACTACTTTTTGGGTGAAAGATTTCTTGGTGTAGGTAGGTGAGCAATAAGACAGTGTTGGATAATTCGAATTACACATTCAGATATTGGGTGCTATAAGGTAGCCTTTTTGTATAAAAAAAACTAATCGAGGTATAGCCCAAGGGTATAGTTTGCTTCTTAGTCGTTCGTTTCAGCCGAATGACGTTTACTTATTGCTGGACAAAGGCCTACTCTAAAGATTTCCAAAACGACCGGTCCTGTTTCACCCGCATAGGCACCTCCCGCGACCTTCACCAGATCGTCGATCCACCTAGTGGAGGGCCTGCCACTACGTCTCCCAATTCGTGGTCGCCACTCGAGAACTTTTTTGCCCCAGCGGCTCATCAACTCTGTGAGCTATGTGCCACGCCCACTGCCACATGATTTTAGCGATTCTGCGGGCTATGTCACTTTGGTTCTACTGCGGATCTTCTCATTTCTGATTAGATCGCGCAGGGAGACTCCGAGAATAGCACGCTCCATCGCCCTTCTTATGAGGCCCATAGAAAGCGACCACGTCTCAGATCCTTAAGTAGTCACTGGCAACACACACTAGTCAAAGACTTTTGTTGTGAGACACTGCGGCATTTCGGACGTGAGAATATTGCGAAGCTTCCCGAACGCAGCCCAGCCTCAGCTCAGACCTCTTTCTCGAAGTTGGACCTACCTAACTGGATTGTCCCAGGTACACTTAATTGTCAACAACAAGATGTAGTCTCCAACTTTCAGAGGTGTGTGTTACAACACGGATATTTGACATGATTTTTGTCTTGTCCATGTTAATTTTAAGAACCATTTGTTGAGAAGCTCTTCATCCATCGAGAATCTATCGAGCATGACTACGATATCTTCCGCGAATCCAATGAAGGTGATGAAGTATTCGCTTTGCCCAGCGCTCATCCAGCTCCAAAACCCCGAAAGCTTTTATCTCGAAATCTTTTCAAATGCCTAGGAGACTACGGAAATGTGGACAAATGCAATGACAGGTTCGTGGGAATTGTCCAAACGACTGGGTCTAAGTTCTTTAAAACCCGTCGTTCAAAAGGAATCAAAAAGATCTCTGACCTCACCAATAAACTAATGGAAGAGACAAGAAACTTGGTTCTGCAAGTATACTTAACTCGCAACCTACGCCAATTTGATACAGACCCAATTAAAGAGGCGACTGAGCGTAACAAGGGCTCTATAGCAAGAGATCTGTCTGTTGGCCAAAGCCAACTAACCAAACTGAAGACCGAGGATGGCAGAGTCATCTCGTCGGGGCCTGAGATATTGGAAGAGGTCGAGGTTCTACGGAAAATTATCACGAGTGTACGCACACCTGATCACAAATCTAGCCGAAGACCCAAGAGCTAGATTGACCCGACACTATAAAATATCTCGGACGTCAGTCTGTGCGAGATTAGAATGACTCTCAAACACCTGAAAAACAACAAGGTACAGGGTGATGATGGAATCACTGCTGAGAAGCAGGTGGAGC